CTCAGATATCGGTAGGAGCAGGACCAACCTACCCAGAGCCTACTCGTAAAACCAGTCCAGATTTGATGCTTAGCTATCTGGTGGGGAATGCGTGGACCCTATTATGAACGCTGTCAGGTCTTGTGGGATTCTAGCTGTTAGTGTCAGCAGAGGTATGTATGTTTTGGAAGTTATCATTTTCCTAAACTGAAAATGTATTTCCAAACATATCTCTGCTGACACTCTTCCTCCCCACTAAGAGTCAATGTTAGTGACCTGAATGAAGTAACTTGCAAAAAGTAATTTTATTGTCTGCATACAATGCTTATATACAGTACCTGCATAGAAGGCGTGTGAGGGCCGGCATAAAGTTTTGCAAATTAGATATTGCTGAGGGCAGTCAAGTGGAGTATATAAAGACTGGTGCAAGCAAACACAACATTAGATGGCAAAGATAAAGGTCGAGAAATAGCTGTTGGTGTCAGCGGAGATAAGTATGTTTGGAAATACATTTTCAGTTGAGGAAAATGCTAACTTTTGTGAACTTAGCCTCATATGCCATGTCTAACCTTTACCTGAAAGTTTATTTTATGTTGCTGCTGACCTAGAGACATTGCCAGTCACAGTGATTTGTGCTGATTGTCCACAGGATGCTTTATCATTCTATCTATGTCCTCAGACCATTTCTTCTTCCTTAAGACACTTTCAGCCACTGAAAGAGATAAATCCTTTTTCACCAATTCATGTGATCACTGTTTCTCATTTCTATGACTGATCAGATTATGATCATGTTTTATGTCCAGTGAGGATCTTGAAGGTTTTGTTGCCCACACTAATGCCTTTAGACAATGACTTTTTTTTTTCATTGAGATCGTTCAGTTTCCCAGGATTCATCTCTGGTTACATTGACGAGGTGGGTACACAATTGTCCCATATTGCTTATTGTGGGCTCTCTTTGAAGGTAAAGAATCTTCTGAGAGTCTCATCTAATCAGATTCGTTACATTTCTATGTCCTTAGCGGCCTGAATTGACCGCTGAAGGACATTTTGCAGGCTGATAGGTGGACATCCCCCAATACTTTTATCTCACGTTATTTGCATGTTCTGGCAGTAGCTTTATCTGAGGGTGTTTACCTTCCCCCTGTGGCTGTCTTAACCACTTCTGCTAGATTATATAGAGGGTTGAGTATTTTTATTGCTATGCTTGTCTGTTCTTTACCTTTCAGGGTCCCCTATCTTATTTTCACATGATCCCACCCTGTGACAAGTGTTGCTCAGGCAGTTGTTCTTTCATCAAACCAATTTCACACTAGCAACCACTAATTCAGTGTACTTTATCTAGGCTGCAACAGGCTCTGTAGAAATGAAGTATTCCATAAGACCATCTAGAAACTGACTGTGTGGTATTACTGTTATATGCCTGACTTCTAGTCGTGGACTATCATGAGTAAAGCATAAGGGGATCCTGCCATCTCTGCCTATCATTGGATTAAATCAATTGGGTTGGTTTGTTTTTAAACATTTAGGGAACTTGGCTCACCTATTGCACTGTTCCTCAGGGCTCCCCAACATGCATTACCCCCAGATTGTACTAGTGGAGCTAGGGAGTCCTTACCACACCCGGGTTTCCAGTCACTGGGGTAGGTGGACAGAGGCTTTTACTCCAGAGTGTTAGAGTTCATTTCCTCCACTCTTGGAGAAGAGGGCAAAGTTAGGGCTCTCCTACCCAGGTCCCTGGATGTTTTTTCCCAGGTGTCAGTACGAGAGGAACCAGCCTATTCAGGCTCCTACTTGTAATACTAGTTCAGATTTGATGCTCAGCTATCCGGTTGAGTTAGCCCCTCTCTTTGATCAATATTGGTTCAGTATATTGTTCATGGAAGAGGGTCTATTGTCTCCTCGTAATTCCTAATTCAGGGTGGTCTCATCCTGGGTCCTTGGTTGAGCACAGTTTGTTCCATGTCCTCCCCATAATTCCAGGGGGCAAGTGGACTTTACCATGCCCAAATGGTTGGGGAGTGAGGAGAAGTGTTTAGAATTCCAGACCGATTGAGTTCTGTTACCTCAAGTTGAGATCCTGTCATTCCAAGCATGGGGTGTTGCCTTTCAGACCTCTTCAGGCTAAGAAGGTTTGTCCACTTTGGTATTGCTTATCTTCTCGTTTTGATTCTGGTGGCTCGGAAGACATCACTCTATGGCTACATTGGGATTCACTCATAAGTATATATATATTATTTGGTCCAATTGCCCTAGCCTCTAACATGTGATATAGGGACCATGGCTCTACAATTCCAACACTGAGCAGTGGAACCTCAGTTATCTGGTTGGGGCCTGGCCAATACTAATGGTAAATCATGTAAATTTCCACCCACAGTACATGAATTAAGTTCCGGGTGAAGAGCATACCTGTTCTGGATGTAGTGTGGTTCCCCCAGTTGACACACCCATGATCTATGCAGACGCTTTCTGGATAATGCTCTTACTGGCCCCTTCACATTCTCAATGTGGGATTCTAGCTATAGTGTGAGGATAGATAAGATGTTTTGGTAGTTAACATTTTCTTAAATCAAAAATGTATTTTCAATAATACTTATCTCCTTTCACACTTTACTGCCCTTCCTTCTCACTAAGAGCCAGTGTTCGAAACTGTGGATTGAGTCAGTATTGAAATAGTGATAACATTATCTGAATGAGGTGCTTTTATATAGTACCAGGACAGAGGGCACATTGATGTATGTGGAGATTGTTATGAGACAAATATCGCCAAGGGCAATTAAGTGGGGTATAAAAGACTGGAACAAGCAAGAAAAAATCGGACAAATGCTTAAATAGCCAAAAGTACTATTATTGGGAATACTTCTTTGATTTAAGATAATGTTAACGTTTGTTGTTTGCCATGATTCTTGCAACAGGTTTAACAAAGAACTAGAGATGTGTATATATATTATTTTTTTTACATGATAGAGCCAGAATGGGCATCTTACAACTTGGGAATCTTTCTTTGATTTAAGATAATGTTAACTTCTGTTGTTTGCCATGATTCTTGCAACAAGTTTAACAAAGAACTAGAGATGTGTATATATATTATTTTTTTTACATGATAGAGCCAGAATGGGCATCTTACAACTTGGGAATCTTTCTTTGTACCCAATGTGCTGACTTTCATAGGAGCCTGGGACCCCACATTAGCAAAGTCAAGTCCATTAGGAGTGACCACTGGGACACTTCTCAAGTAGACATGATGGAGAATGGAGGTAATCACAGAGCCCATGTCAAGTATGAGATCCATGTCCCTGTCTGTTACAGAAGACCCCTAGCACATGATGTTCAGTAAGTAGGTCGTTGAGTATCGCATATTTATTGAATTTGTAGAAAGAATATTTGAATGACAGGGATGGTCTATAAGGTTAGCATTGCATATAGCTACAAAAGAAAGAATACATCTTCACATAACTGACCAAAAGTTATGTCATAGCAAGTATACAGAATGTTAAAACTTAACTCATCACTGGTGGTACAAACACCACATTCAGTTAAAACTTAACTCATCACTAGCAGTGGAAGCACCAAGTATACAGCCTTTTTTCAACATCACATTCAGTAGAAACCTTAACCAGTAGAACTATCGTAGCCAGTATGATTTACTTAGGCTGTAAAATTTTGTATTAACTTATTTTCAAGCCAAATTTATGATACATGAAAAAAGTTACTTAAAAAGAATGTTTCCCTGTTGTGTAAAGGTGATACTTTGTTCTTTGTTCTTGATTGAGCTATCTCTTTAAGTTTATTTATGTATAAGCCCATCTAACACCCCTTTTCCATCTTTCCTATGTATGATGCCATCTAACACCCTAATTTCCATATTTCTTATGTATGATGTCATCTAACATCCTCATTTCCATCTTTCCTATGTATGATGTCATCTAACACTCCCCATTTCCATATTTCCTATGTATGATGCCATCTAACATCCTCATTTCCATCTTTCATATGTATGATGTCATCTAACGTCCTCATTTCCATCTTTCCTATGTATGATGTCATCTAACACTCCCCATTTCCATCTTTCCTAGCTGTATAAGAGAATATTTATGGTTAAAACTTTTTTTGGACCTAGAGCTTATAACAACAATCTTACTAGTGCCTTGTTGTAAAAGCACATTATTAAATCTCTTGAAGAAACCCTATAACCCAATCACTTTTCAAAAGTAGATCTTTCTTCATTGGGGGAAATGATGTGTTACATCAGTATTATATTAATTGATCACAGACTATCAGTGTCTTCCACACATAATTGTATATGGTGTATAAACAAGGGCATGCTTTCAATATTATCTTACAGAGGCCATTTTTATTTTTGTACTTAGAGAAAGTTTAAGTGTAACTTTTAAATCATTGGAAAGTTTAATCTGTCAGATTTTACACTTTTACTGTCTAATTAAGGAAAACAAAGAGTATACCATCAAACATGGTCAATAAACACACAAACATCCTATCTGAGGACACTGTGTGTTTCTAAACAGTCAGATGTCAGTACACACAAATGTACTATCTCAGGACACTTGTGTGTTTCTAAACAGTCAGATGTCAGTACACACAAATGTACTATCTGAGGACACTGTGTGTTTCACTGACATCTGACTGTTTATTTAGAAACACACAAGTGTCCTCAGATAGTACATTTGTGTGTTTTGTGTGTACTGACATCTGACTGTGTATTACCTGAGGATATTGTTTGTTTCTAAACAGTCAGATGTCAGTACACACAAACATACTATCTGAGGACAAACATACTATATAATTGAGGAAATATATCATATGATGTCAGTACACACACAGAATTTCTGTCTAACTTATGGTAGTATCATATATTGGATGTTAGTACACACACAAACGTACTATCTAATTGAGGATTCTGTGTGTTTCTAAATAGTCAGATGATGAAACAGTTTTAAAGAAGTCAACCTTCTTGATGTTTTTTGTTTCCAAATTTCCACTAAATATTTTATTACATGAAAAAATATCCATTTTTTATAATCTATGTATAAGTATTAAAAAGTTGAATACTGTAATAAAAGCTGATATTTTTTATCATTCAGCAGGTTTAAAAATGATTATAGCTGTGTAAAACAATGATTGAGGATCATTCAAATGCATTTGTTATACGTAGTCTTTTTGTAATAACGCTGAAACCAGAAAACAAATTTTCATTGTCTTCACTGACTAAACATGTAAATTAGGTTTAAAATCAAACTGGCATTGCCATCGTAAAGGTGTTTTTGAGATTATTCTTTTGTCTAGTTATGTCATAAAACAAGGTTCACAGATGAAGTTGAAGGCTGTTACTCTGAAAGGAAATTTGACCTTTCAGTATAGTTGTCAGTGATATAGTGTTATTTTAATCTTTCTCTGAAACATCATTCATTATATGAAAGGGATTTAATTGTCAATATTTCAGTATTTCTGACATGGTACAATGAAATGAAATTATCTGATGAAAAAATCTCAACATTGAAATGTTATTTTTCTAGTATTTTATGTTTTGTGAGAATATCAATATAGTAATTTTTATTAGTGGTTTTTTTCACATGCCAGTACAGAAATTAAGCTGGATTTTATCTATCAAGATAGATAATATTCTTATTGTTGTTTTTGTTCTGTTACAACATTTCTACTGTTATGTTTCCTAGAGTCTTGAAAGAAGAATGGATTCGGGCCAAGTATGAAAGAGAGGAGTTCATCCATATTGATAAGCAGGTGTATTTAAGTGGTCGGATGGAAGGAATATTGTGGAAGCGTGGAAAAGAGGATGGTAGATTTAATCCTCGTAAATTTGTGCTTAATGAAGCAGATGATACACTTAAGTATTATGTGAAGGAAGTAAGTAACAAAGTATCCAGATGATACACTTAAGTATTACATGAAGGAAGGAAGTAACAAAGTAACCAGATTATACACTTAAGTATTACATGAAGGAAGTAAGTAACAAAGTATCCAGATGATACACTTAAGTATTACATGAAGGAAGGAAGTAACAAAGTATCCAGATGATACACTTAAGTATTATGTGAAGTAAGTAACAAAGTAACCAGATGATACACTTAAGTATTATGTGAAGTAAGTAAGTAACAAAGTAACCAGATGATACACTTAAGTATTATGTGAAGTAAGTAACAAAGTAACCAGATTATACACTTAAGTATTATGTGAAGTAAGTAACAAAGTATCCAGATGATACACTTAAGTATTATGTGAAGTAAGTAACAAAGTAACCAGATGATATACTTAAGTATTATGTGAAGTAAGTAACAAAGTAACCAGATTATACACTTAAGTATTATGTGAAGTAAGTAACAAAGTAACCAGATTATACACTTAAGTATTATGTGAAGTAAGTAACAAAGTATCCAGATGATACACTTAAGTATTATGTGAAGTAAGTAACAAAGTAACCAGAACTTAAGTATTATGTGAAGTAAGTAACAAAGTATCCAGATGATACACTTAAGTATTATGTGAAGTAAGTAAATAACAAAGTAACCAGATGATACACTTAAGTATTATGTGAAGTAAGTAACAAAGTATCCAGATGATACACTTAAGTATTATGTGAAGGAAGTAACAAAGTAACCAGATGATACACTTAAGTATTATGTGAAGTAAGTAACAAAGTATCCAGATGATACACTTAAGTATTATGTGAAGGAAGTAAGTAACAAAGTATCCAGATGATACACTTAAGTATTATGTGAAGTAAGTAACAAAGTAACCAGATGATACACTTAAGTATTATGTGAAGGAAGGAAGTAACAAAATAACTTTATTTTACTGATAAAGTCTGTAAAGAAGTTAAGAGATAATAATATGTCATGTGAAATAATATGACATCTTTAAAAAATAATTGTTGACAATTTTAATTGCCTGTTGTAGAGATATGTTAAGGTGCTTAATATGAAATAGCTACAAATTCAACAGTTTTTCTTGAATAACATATTTAAATTAATTTCAGTACTTCAGCACAAAACTGTTGAATTTGTAACCCACCCTCACTTTATCCTCTTAAGGATTATGTTAAAATTCTGGTTGATTTAAACTAATTACAGAAAATCATATAAATGCAGGAGTGTTTTGTATCGTAAGAATCATTGTATAAAGAAACCAAATTACATGTTCTCCTTATAACGTGAGACTGTCTTTGAATTGACTCATCCAGTCAATACTTTCATGATACCTACACCTCTGTGTTACAGTATGAATGTGGAACAACTTACTGCTTTTTTTTATCATTCTTCACCTACTTCTTGTTTTCATTGCTCTGTTTTACAATTTTTAAGCCCATTCTTATTGAAATTATACTGTAGCTGAAAAAAATGGGTTTTGTTTGTTTTGGAGAGATAATCTTTATCTATGGGAAGGAAAATTTGTGTTTGAAAGTGCATGTGAGGATCAGCCTCTAGTCAGCCATTGTACCAGTTCACACACATATCTTCATATTAACACTCAGCTAATCAAGTTCTGTGGTATAATCCATTCTTGTAACATCCTTTCTGGTTCATGATTCACTGTGGTAATATTACATTCATTGTAACATCCTTTCTGGTTCATGATTTACTGCAGTATTATTACATCCATGTAACATCCTTTCTGATTCATGATTTACTGTGGTATTATTACATTCATGTAACATCTTTTCTGGTTCATGATATACTGTAGTAATATTACATTCATTGTAACATCCTTTCTGGTTCATGATTTACTGTGGTATTATTACATCCATGTAACATCCTTTTTGGTTCATGATTTACTGTGGTAATATTACATCCATGTAACATCCTTTCTGATTCATGATTTACTGTGGTAATATTACATCCATGTAACATCCTTTCTGATTCATGATTTACTGTAGTAATATTACACTCATGTAACATCTGTTCTGATTCATGATTTACTGTGGTATTATTACATTCACATTTTGTCTCAGTAAGTCTCACCATGGATGGGTCAAAGTGCACAAGTCATGACTTTTATACTTTTACATTCAAAATTTCATTAAACAACTATATTATCAATGTCTCTCAATAAACCTGGTTGAAAATGTAGTGTATAATTCAAATTTTTATATTGTCTAAATTTTATTTATTTGAAAAATTCTCAGTCTAAATTTCTTTCACTTGATGCTCTGATTTCTTCCCTTCAGAATTTCCTGATATAATTAGGCTGCTACAGTTTTAAACCAATTAGAAACACAAACTATACAAGCAAAAAATTCTAGCATTTGAACCTCCTTGATTTTCTGACATATCAAAACATTTGTTAAATCCCATCCTTTCTCTCTTTGACTTTTGAGATTGTTTGCTAATCAACTTTTCACAGTTGATGGACATGTTTATAACTAATAGGAAGAACAGTTCCTCCTTTTTATGAATTCATCTCTTGTTGTCCCAAATTATCCAACTAGATTATTCAGCCAATGAGATAATTTTTGTTCCATGATTATTGTTGTGATCTTGTATTCTAGTGACTGATATATTTTTTGTGTTCTGAAATACATATTTGAAAGTTACATGAACTTTTTGTGACCTAAATTTGTGAGACTCAACAAGGCTTAGGGAAGAATGGCTTATTTTCACTCAAATGTAAATGACTTGAGCGTGCATTGAGTACTATTATCACAAAGCCTTCTTATTTATGTGCATTATTTATTTATTATTTTTTAATAAAATGACGAAAATGTAAAAGTCATAAACTGTTCAGTTTAACCTAAAAGTACTTCAATAAAATAAAACATCCTAGAATCCACTAGCTCAATCTAAGTAACACAAGCTTTCAATAAAATAAAACATCCTAGAATCCACT